CCTAATATCGCCCGATCGCAAGAAGCTGAGTCGCGCCGCGCTTGTTTGTTTCTCCGCCTCTCATTGCTATGACATTGCATGAAAGAAGCCATTTTTCTTTACAGCTGATAATCGTGCACGCCTATAGAGTCCGATCATTGCCCCCCGCACGCTTATTGGCTCACATTTATTAATTCATATCTTAATAACTATTGCACATTTTGCAAAATGGTAAATAACTTTTCTGTTCGGATTGACCCGATCTACCTACACACTTCGGCTGATTCGTTCGTTATGAGACACCCTGTATATATATATATATATATATAGTATAATTATGTACATATGCCAATTAAAAAGATCTTTACCAAAATATGGCATAGACCGCAGTTCGCTGTACGCTCTCAATATAAGCAGCAGAAGATACGCGATGTAGAGGCCACCCACCGTGAAGAAGAACACCTTGAAGCCCTGGAAAAAACAAAGACGAAAGAAGAATATAGATGTATATCTCTCGTTATAAGAGTGATCGCGCCCGTCCGACGTGACGACGTCACAACTTTTTTGCCGCTCTTCTTTAGCCGACCAGTTTCAATCTCTGAACCACTTTCAATACGACGCCAAATAAAGATTGTAGATCGGTATAATCTTGGGGGTAAAACATAAGAGGCACTTGACGTCGGAAAATTGTCGCATTATTTACAGCAGTCATCTCATCGCGATCGGATTTGTGCGCGATAACGACCGGAATATAAAAATTACATCGGTGTAAAGATTGATTTGTATTGACTTTATCGACATATATCCGTGAACATGAGACAAATCTTTGGTTTTCGATTAGCAGTGGGCGTTATTATGTTGGAAGTTTCGTTGAAGATCAGCGGATTGTACACAATCGTTGAATGTCCAGCGGAGTTGCAAAGAGACATCGCGAAATACACCGAGTTGAAATCGGTGCAAATAAGCTGCACGATGCAGCTACTGTGTTCTTCGGGTGGACTGACGAATTACGAGATTCTCAGTGAGGGTTACCAGGTGCACGAATATGATCCCGACGCCGAACCGATGTGCGAGGCAAAGCTCAAGATCAATATCGTGAGAAATGTGACTGAGACGGAGAACGAGAATCCGTGCCTCGGACTCGCGCATCACGAATACCCGGTATTGCTGCCTCATTCGACCAATTGCAGCTTGGTAAGTTCTTTTCTCGCAAAAAAATCACAAAAAAAAAAACAAAAGAACGAAGAGAACGTTTCTCTCTCAAAATTACTCCAAACGTTTCAGTTCTACAAATGCGATTGGGGCGTGCCAATGCTCTTCGAGTGTCCAGAAGAATTGCACTTTAATTCCATTCTCCAAGTATGCGACTGGCCCTGGCGGGCTGGTTGCGATTCGTCCTGGCTCGATTGTCCGCGACCGTTTCCACGATGTCCGACCAACCACCCGGGCTCGCTACTGCTGCCGCATCCTTTTCTGTGCGATCATTTCTATCAGTGCGACTGGGGAACACCTCAGTTACAAGCGTGTCCTGCCGGACTTTACTTCGATCCACGTCTCAAAGTGTGCGATTGGTCTTACAATTCCAACTGCCGAAATTGCTGAGATATGATTACGGAGAAAAGAACCATACGATACGTTAAAAAAACATTGATGCCGCTTTTTATTTAAAAAGTGTATATATATTTAATATTTTAACCCTTCGTCCATAGACATGGGTCTATCCAGAATTATTCAGAAATCGCGCATCGGTGTTTCTAGAAAAAATTATTTTTTTTTTAATGCATGCTTAAATCTTCGAAACTACTAGAGATTTTTTCAATTTGTTTTTTTTTTATCAGCGCAGAATTGTTCAAACTGTCGATTCAAAAAAAAAAAAAAATTAAAAAAATATTGATTTTTCGCGGAGATATTCAATCTTAAAGTCGCGTGGGCCTTACAGACTCAGTCTTATAGTACTCGTAGCTTTTTTTTTAATCTACAGGCGAAGGGTTAGTACATTACTTATAATATTAAATACTATACTCTCTTTTTATTTCCGCGCGACTATATTGTTGATTAGTATGTCAGTATATATACAATATATAGTTAAACTTACATAATAATTCGACGTATCGAGAACGTAATTGTACGTGGGATCCTCCAACTCGGTGCAACGAAGCCACGTGGCGAGAGTCAGTGCCGCGCCCCACAGCATACCCACCACCAAGAGCTTGGGCAGGTAAAACGTGAGAAGCCGTCTCTCGTTCTATTAACGGAATAAAATAAGCAAATTGTCGAGACAGCAACTATTTGAAGTAAAAATTATTTTGTTTTTGTTCATCGATTGAAATACAATACCTGTCTGAGGCCGTGATAGACGCAAAGCCAGAACATGAGAATGGCGCACAAAAAAGTAGTTTGCAAGATCGCGTCCAGCATGCCGGGTACCCAAGAATTCACCAGGAAAGTCATAGGAAACAGCGGATCTGTCGTTTTGCAAAATTCGATAAAATAACGATTGATAAAATTACAAATGTCGAGAAAAACGTCAACGTCGTTTCGTTACACTTACTATTGTACAGAATCAATAATGGAAGAAGTATTGAGATCCACTTTTGCTCTATCGACCAGTCGTGCAGCGGATACTTTCTAAGCGAATGGCCGAACCAGCACTGAAAGCGGTACATAGATATTTTCCTTTCAGTTTCTAGAATAGAATTTACTTTTCCGCGGAGAAAAAAAGAGATCGGATCAAAGAGATAATCGACGTGAAAATATATTCCGAAAGTACTCATTTTAATTCGTTCGATGTTTTTTTTTTTTTTTTTCCAGAGTTTATTCGCTAATTACGAATTACCATTACTCCGAACGTGGTGAGCAAAAATATCAGCCGGAACCAGATCTCGATCTGCGTGAACGCCGGATTGTAGTTCTTAAACTGTAAACAGGAAAAACAGGGGTAACGTGAAGAAAAACAACGAGGCACACGAGAGACTGCTGCAGTGCTCTGACTGGCGTGGTCATTTTGTTCAGTGCTTACTGACGTAGAATGTGAGTTCTCGTATTGTATATCGCTGATGGAAGCTCTCGAGTCCATGGAAGCGGACAGTGATTATGTAGTAGCTATAATCGAGAAATCCCAGATGGGCGACGACCAGTTCCTCGCATGATTGGCTTTCGCATTTTAAGTGTCTGGTTCTGAAAGACAATTCCATTCATCATCAAGACTCGCGTATTGTTACTCGAAATCGCGACACATTCACTTTTTAAATATTCTTCATTGTTATTATAGTTAATTATTCTTTGTTATTGTTAATTTTCAAATTTAAAAAATGTTGGAATTATTAGTTCTATTTTTTTTATGCACTTTACACTCTTAACTAACAGCTCTTACCGATTATGTCCGGCTTCTGGAGATAATACAGATACCAGTTTTCGATCAGCAGTGACACCATCTATGGAAACACTAACTTGGAATCCCTTGTCGTATCTTTCATCTGCAATTATCAGCAATTTGTTGATTATCATCGTAATATAAGTAAGATTTTACATTAATATAAAGTTATACCACAAGTAGACAAAATAAAAAAAGTCTCAATGACGTTGCTAAATGAAATATTACGAGCGACCGGAGCGAACGGTCATTCGCAATATTTTTTGTTTTCGTTACCGTCAGTATTCGACGTTGACAGTTTGGCGATCACCCATAATTGCTGGCTGTAGGTGGACAACAGAGGTGTTTTCATGATGAATGGACCGGTAGCCATCTCGCTGCCATTCAAATGCGCTTTTTGTTCGGTGGTTGATGTTATGGGCGGTCCTTTATAAAACGTTGATATATTATATATTATTTAATTATATATTTTTAATAAATTTATATATACGCAACGATACGTTTCAATTGACGATTATTTCGTCTTCATTTCGGAAGTCGAATCTTATCGTAAAATACACCGCAGAAAGACGATTGTTACTTACCGGCAAGACCGATGAACACGGCCAATCCAAAACACGCGAAGAAGGCAACGAATACCATGACAAACTCTCTCTTGTGCATCGAATACAAGCGCATTTGCACGGATCTGCGTTGTTAATTATACGAATTTGTGTTAAAAATGACAGAGAAAAATCTAATGTCGAAAGAATTTTAAGATACGCAGATATAACCATAATGAGAATTATGACAGATTGATCAGAAAATCTCTATTCACAGTTTCTTGCAACCTCTATAGAAACAATGAAGCGAAGTTTGCGATCAACTCTGATATAAATTTATTTTTGCCGCCAATTAAATTTGTAACTGCGTGTATGTATATAAATTATTATAATTCCACATATAAATATATATTTTTATATATTTATTTACATAAAATATACACAGTTACGACGTGCTCAATTAGTATTGTTATTTTGAGTTTCGTTTTTACGTACCTCTCGCAACGATCATGATGATAAGCTGGCGCGATGTACTTGTTAAATTCGCTGAAAAGATCGCTGAATTGCGACAGTACGTTTCTGATTTTGAGATTCCATCCAGCGGACGGAAGATGATACGAATATCCTAATCCTGGCCCGTCCATCATCTTCTCATACTTGTCCGCACGGTATCCGTCTTTTCGTATACAAGACGTTGAGAAACATGCGAGATATATGTGTTATTTTGTAGTTCGCAAAATTAATTATTTTGAGAATATTTGATTTCGGTAACACATTTATAAACGGGAAAATATATAATTTAATATTAAAATGTATAATTAAATAATATATATAATTAAATTTATAATTGATTGAAAAGAGAGAGAAAAGAATAATACATACACATCTTTATTTTACACCGCGATGTGATAAAAATTGAATTCTTAGACATAAATTTATCGAAGCGGCGATTATAGACTGGACTGCAGTAATCTTTTTTTAAACAAAAGAGACAGATTTTACGCGTTATGCACGTAATGTGCATGTAAACACACAAGAAACTCACCTTCTATCTTGATGCGTAAAAGTGTACACTAATTACACTTGTATTCTTGATAAATATCTTTCGCCCGCATAACGCTCGGGAATCACGAAAAATTTCATCACCGAGATGGCGTATCGGACTTACAAAAGAATTTCGATGATGTTTGTTGCGCGTTAAATTTCTCAGCTAAAACGTATACGAGCGCGATCACGTACGTACGGCATTCACCACGAAACAGCCACGAACATTGCGACGCGCGCAGTATTGATTTTTACGCCATATGCTGTAAACCAGTGTTGCTAACTCATCAACAGCGTCGGAAGTAGCGCATTAAACAACAAGCGACTATTTTATATCGTCAGACGAAAATTCAGTTTTATTAATCATTGTCCTAAGAACAAAATCATGATCTGCTTGTGTATAAAATTGTGATGAGATTAACATTCACATATTCTATATGTGTATCTATCCGCAGATGATATACATCGCCACCATTAGGGTTCTTGATATCGAGTAGAAAAGTCGTTTGAAGTAACTAGCGAAGAGACGTATCTTAACAAGAGAGAGACTTTACACGTCGACCAACAATCGACAATCGAGAATCTCATGAAAATCGTCAAAATTTCGAGGAAAATATAGTTTTTTTTTTGTAAACAATGCGACCTGCGATAGTTTTTTGTTTATCAAGTATGTCAGAAACTGTCGAAATTATTAGATACAATACTTTAGGCGAGATAGGATAAATTAGCTTTTTATAACTTCACTCGCAAGAGAGAAAAACGCGCAACTTACAGCGAAATCTGTCGAAAACGAATGTTGTAGACAAACAAAAAGCAATTTGCCAATCTGCTAACATTATGTTTGTTGGGATGGTTGTATTCTACTTTTATCAGTAAAAAAAAAAATCAATTCTGTTTTCCATTTTTCAATTTTTACACTCTTAAGAAGGAAGGCCTTGAGAGGGTCCTGGACCTTCCTGTTATACCGATCGAACGAGTAATTCGTATTAGACGGTGTTTTTCGTATTTATTGCTCGGATAGAAAAACGGCTCTACAGAATAAAAAACAATAATGAAATTAATCTCGGACACTTTTCAATATGTCAAAAACTTAACAACAATTTTTGAAGTTACAATCACCTTCACTTTTATCGCACTGGCATTTACAGTTTAAAAGTTATGCGTAAAAACCAAATTAGTGTCCGAGATAGACATAACATTCAAGAACGTAATGAGACTATTAGACTACGATTTGGAAGCCAAAATTACGCAAACACCGTCTAATACGTTTAAATCTAACATAACCTCTTTTTATATATGTATGTCGTTGTTTCTCTAACGACGTTCTATGGTTGATGTCACTTGTATCGGTAACAGTAGTCACGATATATATATGTATAGTATCGCTCCAGAACCCTCTTAAGGACGTTCTCCGATTACAGTGGTTAGCAACCTAAATATAGTGGTTAGCAACCTAAAATATCTCTTTTCATGAGTAAGTTTGTACTGCTGTAACAAAGTTAAGTTGAGCTATTCAGCACTGCTAAGACCCGCTTACTCTGCGCAGAAGTTCAAAAATAGCTGCAGCACATAAATCCAGCAAAACAAAAAAAAACCAAAAACAAAAAAAAGCTACAGTTTGAAAACAAGGGTTGTTTGCCATATTATTCAAAATCGTATTTTAATTAAGACACTCTCCGCTACCACATACTTGTTTTTTTAAAAAAATCCTACAAAAATTGTCGTCAGTAACTTTAAAAAACCCCACTTCACAAAGGCTCGGCATAGAAAATCCATGTTAAAAATTGAAACTTAAATCTTCCATATTTTAGAATTTAACATTGCTACCCCTATTATCCAAAAAGGCTACGTATAAATAAGATCATAAAGTATGTATATCGCAAATTTAAAGAAAATCCTAGGAAAATCAATAATTCGAAGAACGTTCTTAAAGTGATCTGACGAAATTCGAATTTAGCTCGCGAGCGCTTTGAAGAACGCGCCACGTAGAACGACGACGCGCAGGTCCTAGTGCAGGACTTGCACAGGACTAGGCACCGGTCCGGCGCTCTTTCGATACATTCATAAACAAACCCAGTCCCAGCTGAGCGGTTTCAACCTCGAACAATACATCGAAACGATCTCTGGATATCTTCTTTTTGCGTTTAGAATTATTACGTTAGTGTTTAAGTTAATTCTCGAATCTCGTACGAACAAGTTGTCGCGCAACGAAACGGAGAAAATGGATCGCAAAGGCACGTCGAGAGACGTTCGTTCGCAAAAGAGAAAACGAAAGTTCCGTGGAAATCGGCACACCGTAGAATGTGACACCAGTTTCGCTACAACGTCCGCTGAAAAATTACGAAGCACAAACGACACCGAGGTTCTTATTGATCGGCAGCACGGTTATTGCATCCTCGAGTTTTTCTCGGTTTTCACGGCGATAAGCAACATGGTCGTTTGTCGCAATTGCCAGAGTGACATGAAGTTCAACGAGACCCAAACCCACGGATTGGGATTTAAAATAGCTGTGACGTGTAAATGCGGGGTCGCGTATATAAATTCATGTCCCGTTATCGAAAAATCGTACGAGATTAATCGGCGCATTGTACTCGTAATGAGACTGTTGGGTCTCGGGATAAAAGGTATTACGCGAAATGATACGGTTTTTTTTTAAGACCCAAGCGCTGGATTTACGTGCAAAATATTTTTAAGTAAATTTGCGTTATTTTTAAATATATAAATAAACGTGTGTTAATTCGAATCTTAACACTTTTTTTTATAGCCACGTGCTTCGGCTCGTTTATTCCTTTACGTGCCGCCGGCTACTCTCGCAAGAATAATTTGTTTTACGTTTTAGTGCCGGTTAAATTGAAAAGAAAAAGTGAAGTCACGTATACGTGACACCGGCCGATAACTGCGAGCGGGATCAACGCCGGCGTGATCCCGCTGCTAAGTGCGCGAAATCACGTGACACGAGCGACCGTCAAAGTGCTAAAACCTGTATCATTTCTCTCGCAAATGGAAGTTTTACCACCCCAGTCTTATTTCGATTATATTTGTTTAAAATTTTAACGCTATCGAAAACGCGTTATCGCAAGTATTTCTATCGATACTTTATATTAAACATTGCGAGAATATTATTTGGGTGCCTTGATAAGGCCTAGAATCGATAAGGTGACCGTGCAGTGCTAGAAATGCGGTTGAGCATTGATTTTTGGCCGAGATGACTCTTCGCAATAGTCTCTTTTTAAATTACTTCAGGAAGATAAAGGAATTTTTTATTACATGAGATGCGAGTCAAGCAATCGAGATATAGAATTTCGAGATGCAAATTAACCCTCAACGGACGGCGTGTTTTTCGGCACCTCAATTCGCCGGACATGGGTCGTTTTCGTCTTGGGCTTTTTAAAAATATTAAATATTTCTAAAAAAAATCTGAAACAATGTGTATATATTCTTTAAACCGTCTATTTTAAGACACCATAATTAAATTTAGTGAAAAAAAAAGTTTTAATTCATAATTAAAATGTAATTCGACCTAATATTATCATTTTTATGCGGCAACACATTATTAATTAATATTACTATTATACGGTGTATATTAATTTATATTTAAAAAATATTGCGCACGCATATTCAGCGCTCGGTTTTCAAAGGTGCCGTGTTATTTCTCACGATTGGAAAAATTATATCAGAGCTTTATTTCTCGAATTATGTGTGTTTAAAAGGTATATCTCTGTTTTGTGGCTTGATGGACATCAGTCAGGGACTCTATACTAAAACTTTCGACGCGTGCCTAGAAAGTATACACATCACATCGAAAGCGTTGTATCAGGTAGTTACAAAAAGAGCCGTCGAGGAGGAAATAAATAAAACATTATCGACCGAACATCCGATGGATTATCTGACCGTATCGGGCGACGGCACTTGGGAGAAGAGAGGATTTGGCTCGCTTTTCGGAGTGTTCGCGATAACCGGCATATTTACCAAAAAAGTGCTCGATAGTGTGGTCAAATCGAGTTCTTGTCGAAATTGCAGCGATTGGGAACGTCGTTCCATTGACACAATTGAATACGACATTTGGTTTGAATCTCATGAAAATCAATGCCCGGCAATCAATCGTTCGGGAAACGCCGGAAAGATGGAAGTGGACGCGGTTACGGAAATGTTTCAACGATCGCAGGAAAAATACGGTGTTTATTTCACGACTTACGTCGGTGATGGAGATAGCGAGACATTTAAAAACGTATTGAATACAAATCCGTGCGACGACGACATTGTTATCACGAAGAAAGAATGTATTCGACACGCGGAAAAACGAATGGGAACGCGATTGCGAAGCGTGACGAGAAATACGGAAAATATCGGTGGAAATGGAGATGGGAAACTCACAAACGAGCTGATAAAACACCTTACGACACATTACGGTTCGGCAATACGCAAAAATTCCAATTCTGTCGGCGACATGAAAAGAGCAATTTGGGCGACGTTGTATCACGAAGCTTCCAGCGACGCGAATCCTCAACACGAATACTGTCCTTCGGGATCGGACAGCTGGTGTGTGTGGCGTCAGGCGGAAGCGAAGGGCACGTTAGAAGCGTTCACGCATCAAAAACCACCGTTGAACGACGCGGTGATAACGGCGATAAAACCTGTGTACGAAGATTTTACTGGCGATGCTTTCCTGGAACGATGTCTCGGTGCGTATACGCAAAACAACAACGAAAGCTTGCACTCGCTTATATGGACGTTCGTACCGAGGCGTATGCATTGTGGTAAGAAAACGGTAGAAATTGCTACGTTTTTGGCTATATGCATCTTCAACGAAGGATTTCAAACCATACTGCAAGTGATGTCGCTGATGGGAATTACCATAGGCCCGAATGCGAAAGCATACGTCGACAAGCGAGACAATCAACGCGTTAACCGGACGTCCGGCGATCTTGTTAATGTTCCACACGCCCGTCAAAGCCAAGACGAAACTGAAGAACTTTTCTTCGAAGATGAAGAAGATATATTTTACGGGCCTGATATAGCGGAATAAAATAATTAGCACTGAATTGAATGCTGTGGCGGTCACCGGTGACCGGCGATGCCAAAAGATTTAAGTAAAAACACATAATTCAAGCAAATAACAATACTTCTTAATTTTTCAATATTGTCATCGTTTATATTACAATGATGTTAAAGACATTAATGCACCATAGAACATATATATAAAAAGTTGTATTTAAAATCGTACATGTTATATACGCGCGTGTTGCGACGTGAAATTTTCTTCACTATCCGATGGTAATCGAACGGCGTTTACAAAGAGATGTAAAAATGATTTGTTACTTTACTATCGTGTAACTCCTATATATAGTAGAATGAGAGGTTCATCAGAGAGTCAAAATTTCGACTCGGGTTGAGACGCGAATTGTTTGATGAAATATTATTTTCAAGAGCTATTTAAAAAATTGAAAATAAATTGCAAAACTTAATATAACGTATCATACAGCACAGAAAGATTGCAAAAAGATTGCAAACATATTTTATTGCAATATTGCAAAATAATTGCGCAGTGTAGATGCAATATAGATGCAATGTCAAAGCAACATAAAAATGTCCGTCTTTAGCAAGATTGTACTGCAATATAATTGCCATATTGCAGCGCAATATACTTGCAACAATAAATAAAAATATGTCTTTTATTATTATTAAATATAATTTTATTATTATTATTATTAAATATAATTTTATTATTATTATTATTAAATATATAATTTACAGTACATTTTGTGAGTATAATAAAAACAATTTTAATTAACGTATTATGTTATTATATTAATTATTATATTTTATATATATATATATGTGTATATACATATATACATATAGACTGCCTTATATATATATATATATATATGTACACAGCATATACATATATATTCAATTTATATTTATCTTTTTGAAAGTTTCTAATACACTATAAACAGGCAGTCTATAAAAAAAAACAAAGTAAAATTAAAATATAAGTGTCAATAATATACAAAATTATTTCGCAATGTAGAAGTAGTTCACAGACTTACCAAATCATACACCACATATAAATAGTGCTGTATAACGTTATATAAAGCAGTTTGTAAAAAGCGTTGTAAGCAAGGGAGTCTTTGCAACAAAAAATAAACTGATGAATTAAAATACAAGACTCAAAAATTACAATATACTCTCAAAATGGATAAACATAATTAAAGAATAATTTTACTTAGTTATTTTCTCTCTTCGCCTTTTTTTTCCAATCATGCCTCGCCTTGTTGTAATGTCTACACTTGCTTTATACAATATCTATACAATATATATCTTAACGTAATCAACGAAAACTAACTATAATAAACTAAAGACAGAGCCCAGTAAAAATAACTCAGCACACTCGGTAAAGTCAACGTAATCACAGGCGAGATCCTATTCCGTGTATGCGTGACAGTGACGGCGAATGTATGTATAATGCATTCGACGAAAACACTGCAATACCGAAATTACTGAAATAAATATAATTATATATGTGTGATGTATATATTTCTATATCTGATGAACTCCTTTCTCGAAAGTTAATAACTGTTGCGTCCCCGTGAACGCAACTATAATAAGTTATGTACAGTGTTTTGCAATGTTTCTGCAAGATTTTTTCAATCTTGCTATTATCTTACGCCGAAATATAAGTAATATGTCACAGAAATATTATTGCGCAACCTGCAATATTGCAATATTCCTGCGACGTAACTGCAAGTTTTTGTGCTGTATGAGGTGTAGAAATATAAATAAATATTTCATTACTTGACAACTCTGGATTACAGACACTCAAAGAAGAAGCGACAAGAATAAGCGAAATAAGAAACGATTGAGACAACTGATTGTTGTAAAAACTAAGTGAAATGTAGCGTGAGATCGAAAAAACGCACTCCAAGCGCCGTGGAGGCCACTGGTGACTCCCGCAGTAAAATAAATGCATAAAACATGATAATACAGTCCAACTTATATGTTGTAGATAATATTTTGCAATAATATGCATCGCATAAGAAAATATTCATTCCGACGCCTTGGACAAGTCGGTCATAAAATTGATCCGGCATTCAACCTGTCAGTCACTTTTCTATACGCAAACTTTTTGCAAAACTTACGTGAAAAGAGTTTTTTACGATTCGCCAAAGTAAAGACATTTTAAAAACACTTTTCTTCTTCATTTTTAGTCGGCCGCCATTTTGTTCAATATTGCGATAAATAATTACGCGTTTGGTCCAATTATATTTGTATAGATTAAAATGAATCTTCGATCGGTTTCAGATTAGCACGAGAGAATGATGCAAGAGACTTGATAACAGTGTAAACAAGATTTTTGCAACGCTCTGTTTAATAAACAATAAAAAAATCCCGGTTTTATATTATGACAAGAATTAAACGTTATAATAATGATTAAATGTTGAAGTTTTTCTTTTTTTAAAGATAGTAGCTCTCAATAAATTTATTACATATAAAAATATAATACTTTAAGTGTTTTCAGTTTCGAGAAAAAAACTTTGTAAAAGCAAATAGTTTTTTTTAACAAAAACAATCCTCTTAAGTAGATACTCCTTTAAATTAAAATTTTCGTTTTAACCGCTTATCTCGTTCCGGTCCGGATAAAAAGAGGTTTCAAGTACTCCTATTGGCTGCGCTACGTCTAAATCTAAGATAATTCATTTAGGTTGTAAATAAACAATTTATTTTAAACAAATTAGTTTATTAACACATTTATACAAGAAATACATACGATTCAGCGTCAGATAAATTATAAGCGAGTTATATCGATTAGATCTATCATTATTTTATATAATTTTAATGTTATTTTATATTTATATATATATATATATATGTATAATTTTTTTTTTTTTTACTTTATGTTCAGTCGCGCGAGCTTGAGCTAGCGCTCGTATATAAAGCGCTCACATTTATGAACGAATCGCCGTCGACTTTCGCTCACGCAGAGTCGCTCTCGCCGAGAGTGCATCGCACCCACATCAATTCGAGACAAAAAAACCTAAGATAAGAACAAGAGAGAATTATAAAGACAAAGTTAATACAATTCATAAAACACATTGTAAATTCGCGTAGCGTATATTATTCACATTGTTCGCGCAAACATCTCAAAAATTATTCGCGATTCTTATCAGACGACATGCTGTTGAGAGAATTGCGTGAGAGAGGTGCATTCTTTTCTACACACGAACAAACAAGTATACAAAAAAAAAAAATAAATACCGTTGTATAATTCGAATTGCAAATTGTTTAAGTTTCAACATTATCGTTCGCTGGTATCTCGAATGTGAGATTACATTCCGCGATAATCGATCTAAGTTCAAACTTTTTAATAGTAAAACTTTTAGTAGTAAAACAAGAGAGAGAGAGAGAAAGAGAAAGAGAGAGAGAGATATACCGCGGTGATCCCACGAGATTTGTTGATTTGCCCGCCGGGTGAAATCAACGAATCTGTGCCGAACGTTTTGTGAAATTGAGGACATACACGTATATATATATATTCGCGAGATGTGTCTCTCGCGACGACGGCAGCAGCGACGGCGGCGGCGGCGGCTTCCTCATCGGCATTGTAGTGGTGTGCCGCCAGGGGAAAGTTTATTTACAGTCGAAGAAGCGTTTTCAATCGCGATGCGCGGCTCGATGCACGACTTTGCGGCGAGACCCCCTTGATCTCTCGAGCGAGTTTTTCCGGCGCTAACTCACAATAATATATATATATATCTCACACACACAAACACACACACACACCGATTATTTCATAAAACCGTTTGTTGTAGAACGAGCTGAAAATTTTGTCTGCAATGCACCCTGGAAAAGTCAGCATCTTTCTACGCGAAGATGATCTAACTGGGCAAGAGAGAATTGTATTTAAAATTAAAAGACTTTGGATGAGATGTTTTTCAAGAGAATAAATTTTTATACACATATGTGAGGTATTTTCTTGTCGAGTTCTTATTAGAATTCAAATCTCAATCTGAGAATATATAATAATAATAATACAATAGCTAAGAGACGATTTCTATACGGGATTTTTTTTTTTTCACATCGAAAACATGCGAACTAAAATTCTCTCTTCGTTAATTTACACTTATTGCTATCGTCGTTATTAATGTTACACATTTTTTTTTTATAAGTAACGTGTTTACTTGCCATTGAGCGTGTTCTTACGATTACCGACGTTTGGCTGGCGCGGTTTTGGTCACGTACCGCTTGAGTGTCGTGAGTATTATATTTGAGGAAAGAGAAAAAAAAGTACAGAGGTCAGAGAGAGAAGAAGGATAAGAAAGCGGAATCGCACTTGTGTGTGATCTTATGTACAGACCCACATCTACCGTATCGCAACTAAATGCGAGCTTGCGTAATCCCGCGCTCCTCGGGAAGGCCGGCAATAAGTCCTTGTTTTAATGCACGTACAATCGTAATTAATACCATTACGCTTGTTAAGGCACCACGCGCGGCTTCCTCGTCGTGACGATTCCCGTGAGCGCTCTCTGTGCTTCGCGATTGTCTCACGCGTCTCCGCTCTTCCGTCCGTGTCGGGGATGACGAAGAAAAAAGGAGCAAGCAAGTTTTGTGGACGTAATGCACACCGAGAGCGGCAACGATTCGATTTCACTCGAATTGAACTGATATTCAAGGTTACTATCGTCAATAGCTCACGTACTATTGAACTTACCTAGTCATCCCGCGTCCTTTCGCCGTGAATAACCGTTTCTCATTGCCGCCGCTATACCTATATTACCGCTGCGAACTCTGTCATCATGATTTTATACGCGCGTATGTGTGTGTATGTATGTATGTATGTACGTAAGTCGGTGTCAAAGTCTGAAGAAATTGTAGACGGCATTTATATGTAAGGACTACGTCGTGACGGGAGATAGATGACTGATAGATAGATGAAGATAGATGACTGATGAGAAACAAAGAAGAAGGAAAGAAGACGGAGAAACAGAGAAGGAGAGCTCGATTTCACCTTGCTATAATATCGTCCTGTGTAGTGATTTACACGACTCGTCGAAGTCTTACATCGGTACGCCCGTCTGTGTATCTTCTCACGCGCTGCTGCCCAACTTGCGATTACTAGTAACGAACTGGTAGTTCTTGTTGGGCAAGGCGCCGACGTTCAGCGCCAGCACTTTGGACACGATATTAAGATCCTCGCCACCCGGTCCTTGCACGTTGCCCAGGTCACCGGCAACGCCCGACTGAAAGAGCAAACGTTGTATCTGCTTGGCGGGAGTCTGCGCTCTCTGCGGTGGTGGAAGTGGTCGAAACTGTACGTAAGGATTGTAAACGAACGTACTCGGCGCACTTTTTGGCAATGCGTTGAAGGTGAACGTGTTTCTTGGTGGCGGAAGTGCTTGCTTGTTGTCCAGATTGTTGAAACCGAAGTTGCCAACTGCGTTGAAGGCTTCTTGTCTGTTGAATCTGGTGGCCGGTGATGTGGGCGGTTGGAAATCGATAGGGAACGAAGGGAAGTCTTGTTGCAATCGCGGTTGTTGATGCGGTTGCTGGTGTGGAGACTGCTGCTGAGGTTGCTGATGGAATTGTTGGAAGTGAGGCTGTTCCTGGTAGTTGCGGAATAACGGTGGCGCACCAGCATTGGGTAACTCCAGAGACAGACTAGGCTGAAGATGAACGGTCGGCTTCTGTGACGACTGAGATGAAAGAAATTTGTTTGTCTGTTCGAAAATGTGCTGCTTCTGCAGGGGGAAGTAGTTCTGCTGCTGATGTTGCTGTTGCTGCAATCGATAGATTTTCTGCTCCTCCAACTGTCTCAAATGCTGTTCCTCCAATTGTCTGATGCGTTCGTGCTTGGCCCGCTCCTCTGCCAACTGCCTGAGCCTCGCCTGTTCTTGAAAATACTGCTGCTGTTGCTTCTCTCTCAGTTGCTGCTCGTACAATTCACGTTGTCTAAGAAGAAAATGTGTCTGTACGATCTGTTGCTGCTGCAGCTCAGCCAACTGTTTCTCCAATAATCGTTGCTTGAACTCTAACTGCTCCTGAAGTGTCAGCGCCTGCCCGTCGCCCGATTGTTTGTAAATCGGCACGACGCTCTTCGGCACGCCGAGCTCGTCTTGTTGCACCGTGAAGGCCGCCACCAAAGGCGCCTCGAAGATCTTCACTTCTTCCACTGGAGAGTTTTTTTCTTTGCCGGAGGACAACGAAGTAGCGTTGTTCTTAGGAGGAGGAATCGTTGGACTAGACGCGGTCGGTTTCGGCGTGATCAGCGCGTTGGCGTTTGCAATCCCGCTACTTGCGCTTTGCGTCAAGCTTTCCGATATCTGCGTGATCGGCTTCAACGTGACGCTCTCGATCTTGTTGACCGACGCCGAGCTCGACAAAGTTTTCACACTTCTCGTATCCAACGAATCTACTTTGGATTCGGTTCGCGGCGCGGGCTTGTCCGGAACGACGATATTGTGCACGTGGAAGCTTCTGGCGTCGTCGTGGCTCGCTTTCTCGATACTCATCGCCGGCGATGAGGCGACATACTTCTTCGACTCGAGAAAGCTCGAATTCTGCAGCTTCTCCTCGTTGGGAATATCCTCGTCGCCCGGAAAACCGTCAAATGTGAAAGAGCTCTTCGGTATCACGCCTATGTTGTTGTTCGAATTCTTCTTCAATCCTTCGTCAAAGATCTTCTCGACGCGCATAATAAGCGACTTCTCGTCCTCGTCCTTTCGCTGTTCCGCGGACTCGGCCTCCAAATCCGTCAGCGCCTTCAGTAGCGCCTGTCGCAGATTTTTGTCGAGCTTTACCGGGGCCGGCGAGATTTCGAGACCCTTCGCCGAGATCTCAGACTTCTGAGATCCGGCCAGCGGTACGAAGCAGGCCGCTGCTAGCAAAATCGACACGGCTACCTGTGAAATTGCAGAAAGTGAATATTTAATTGCGCATCGCGTTGATGAAAATATCTCTAAGCGTGATATCATTCCTCTGTTGCGGAAATATCTGAGGAGCTCAGACAGATTTATACGGAAGAAAAGATAAACTGCTGACTGGATTTATTTATGAGCATATATGGCGATTGTGATGACACACAAGGTCGTCTTTCTTCGAGTTTCATCTTTTTTAATGTATGTTTATAACTGGTTTCACCATGTATTGATTCGAGAGAGAGAGAGAGAGAGATCGAAAGCTAATGCTCTTGCTCGTTCGGTCTCCCGCGAGAGTCCCGTTATACGTGTGTGTGTGTGTGTGTGTGTGTGTGTGTGTATGTAAGATTCACAGCGGCCTGTAGGCGATTTTCTCTTCCTAAAATCATAGTAAACACGTACCTACGGCTTTCGAGCCGACGGATGGTTCGCGTGTGTGTTTTACGTAATTGCGCGAAAACGCACGCACACGCCTGACACGTCGCAGAGAGGCGCGCGTAATTAAATGTGTACACATATTCGAGAAGTCGAAAATAGTCTGTTTAATGAACTATTAACAAGACTTGATGTTTTTTCGTATTCCGTATTTTTTTTTTTTTTTTTAGCGTTTCCGACTAACAGACCGGACTAATGATCTTTCCGTTGTATCACGAAGACGCACGTTTTGCCGAAATCTTCGTTTATTTATTTATTTATTTGCGAGAACAATCTCACGAAGAATACGGAATAGAAAAAAAATAAAAAGGTGACCGATTTTAAATATACCGATAGTGAAAACAATAATACGTGAAAAAATTAATTCAAAAATCCAATCTCTTTGTAAGTTTTTATTAAAACACTGAAGAAGATCCTCATAATGAATCGAAACGTTTGTTAAAACTTTTTTCAAATCTTAGAATTATAAAAGAAGATTGTACTCGAACATCTGGTGTTAGCTTGTTATTGCCATTTCCTTATTTCTTTTTATTTAAATATTCAACAAGCTGAAAACATATAATTAAAAAATCTAGGTTTTATTATTGTCTTATATTTATTTTTGCGTAGCATCAGAATCTCGAAGAGCAAATGACGATGAGTTGTATCAAATGAATACCGATCGAGGAAAGAAAAAGATAAATGCCAGAAAATTCGGCGAAGAGGGAGGGGGGGGGGAAATCCCATTATGTGTTGTCTTCTTCAATCCGAATGCAATTAGAAGCGCGCATCTTTAATTAACGCACGTGTATGGAGTATAATGTGCGGCGCTTGGGAATAAACTTTGGTATTTAACTGGAGAGAGAAACTCTCCAATGGAGATGTCTCAGAGAGCTTTGTTACGCGTCGGTTAGGACGCGCGCGAATAATCGAAACTGAACACGCGCGATGAGTCGACTTTCATGGGTGCTTAACCCCTTTTAAGAGATCTCCACATCAGACGTGGTTTCGTGGTTCTCGTTGAGATTTTTCTCAAGTGCCTTGCGTCGGTTTCACTATATGTCGGCGTTTTTAGCGGCAACGCACAAGCGTGTAGGTGTGCGAGGAGTGTGAAAGATTTTTTTTTTGTTTTTTTTTTTTCGAACGCACCGCGATCTAATCGTCTAGTCATTCGTTTGAAATAGCTTGTTCCGATAAATGTCTTCGGTCGCCGCATTCGATCGACGTTTTCTCTCTCGTGCGGATGTTTATATTCAAATCAATCACAACGAGGCGTAATCCGAGCGGAAGCACGAAGGCGACTACGCCTTCGAGAGGTCGAGCGGAAGGCAATTGCGAGGTTTTGAACTTTCACCCCGAGATCGCAACTCGATATGTATAATCGACTAAGGGGAAGGGGGGAGTTACGGTATGCGCGCCGCGTTCCCGCGCGTTTTCCTTCGCGCACACGCAATGGGAAAATGTTGTTTTCGCCGAATCGTAAAGTGAGAGGAGAGTTTTTATTGACGTGTCAACCGTAAAGCATCTCCTCTCCGTCATAATTCGCGAGGACGAATGTTGTGAAGCGCGCGCGCGCACTTAAGTATGTAAACACAAAAAAAACCTAAGCGCTATAACCGCGTGCTGCATTACCACCGTAAGACCTGCACCTTTGACATTTCTGAAGAAAGTTACACCGCGCCCACCCGGAGAACAACGGAAAAACACACGAGACAAGCCAGGTCGCAACACGAGCGTGGAATTATCAAATTATGTATTCCTCGCGACGAGAAGTCCGCGCTTTTAAGGTGACCGGTGCCTTTTGCCGCAAAAAGGAAAGCCGTTTGACGCGCGCGCGCGCGCGCGCGTGTTAAGACGCCTGTAAAACTACCCCGTAATTTGCACATAATAAAAGCAGAGAATTGCCGCGTTTAGCGCGGGCATCTGTGTCGTAAAACTGTTGCAAGCCTTTGCTTCCTCTTTCGGAGCATCTTTTTCTCTCTCTCTTTCTCTCGTCGTTCTCGAGACGGTTAATTGGTCTCCTTCGTTAATTTCACACGAAATGAGGCCGGAATATTTTAACCGCGAACGCGCATAAGATGATCGTTTAGAATTATATTTTCGTCGTCGCGGCTCTCGTCGTTCGCTCCAGCGACTTCTCACATATTCTCTACTCATATAATCGTATTCCTTCCTCATTTACGGTTGTAAACCCGCAAAGTATGCTAACAGTAAAAAAAAAAAAAAAAAAAACTATGCGGTGGAGAGGCGCGACACATAATTTGCGAAGCTGAGACGACTAGACAACTTTGGGAACTTTCTAAACTCGCACATCCTCTCCTCGTACCGCGGTCGGTCCAGCGTCCCATTAATCTTCGGTGTCGTGCACAAACGAGAAAAACCCACGGAAGATTCACAGGTGTCGTGCCACTTAATAACGGGCCGTGCGCTGGAATTGATTTGCATTGTTGTTGCACTTTTGAGACGTGGTCGGTTTCACTTTCGAAACCAAAACCACGTCGACCATATATAACGCCGAGAATCTCGCTCGTCGGGTGACACACATGTCTCGCCCGAATATTTATGGGCGTATATGTCGCGCGCGTTAGGTAATTCTTTGCATAATTGGAGAGACGTCGCTTAATTAATCAACAATATCGTGACTGTCGCAAAAGTCGAAAGTTTTGTGAATACATACATGAGTAACTCCACCGGAAAAGAATCGCGCGAAAACGAGGAAGACACCGCAACGGCGCGTCCCGTGAGACGCGGGTACGCACCTTACCCTTTATAGTCGGTTGTTTAAACAAAAAACCCGCGCGACCCATATTTGGTTATCGCGAAATCTTTGATTGCACACATACGGGCGTTTTTCGCGCCGTGAACTTCTGACCCGTCATTTTCCCAAGCTGGGAGATCGCAGTAAGTTTCACTGCGCGCGCGCGCGCGCTTATATACAAAAAAAGAGAAAGAATCATTGAATTGATATTGTAAACGCACGATAGAAGATAATGGAGGTGAAATGTCAGTTTACCTCGCGCGGTAATTATATGTATATTTCACAAACTGAATTGTGTGTACGGGAAAAGAACACGCGCATCCCAATTGCACCCGGAATGTTGTTTCACGCATTTCGATTTCAATTTTCATAAATTTGAATAATTCACAAAGAATGTAACGTCGAGGATAACTGTCAACAAATATGTTCTAATAAACGTAAATACCCACGATTACACACGTAGCGCTAAATCAGCGAGTGTTGAAGTTAATTGGTTCTTTCGCGATGGTAATCAGGCTGAGACAGTCAAGCTCCAATTATTACAATCATTTTTCAAGATCTCGATGTGTGATTCCAAGTCTTTTTTCTATCTCTCTCTCTTTTTTCTCGTTAAAAATCTGTATCATCGAATAATCGGTTTCTTTTTTTTTTTTTTTTTTTTCAGACGAACACACAAGTAAAACGTATATTTATCGGACGATGATACCCGAAACGCGCTTTTGAAAAATTCTGCGGCGGATCAAATAAATCGAGCGGCTCGATAATGGCACGTGACGTATTGAGAAACTCATCGCGCTGATCGAGAAGAGAAAAAGACAAGATCGACCCCGCGCGCGTCTGTTTTTCACGCGCGGCGGCGATCGAGAAGTGGGAGACCAAACAGCGTGAGAGAACTCGTCACGTTGATCCGGCTCAACGCGGTAACATTGTTGGCGCGGAGGAAACAGAAGATGAGGAAGAGAAGAAACCGCGAGAATACACAAACGGCACTTTCACTTGGCAGTGTGTCGAGGATGCGCACGCTCGTGAACTTGCTCTCGCTATACAGCCGAGAGAGGCTTTTTTGCCACGGCGGCGTGACAGACATTAAAGTCCGTCACGTTACAAAGTGCACAGGTAACACTCCGGGAGGGGCATTCTTTTGTGCTACGGATTACGAATTGACTTTGACGCAACATTTCTCGACGGTCGAGGAGCGGCTAAGCAAAACGGCCCGGTGTGCTTATATCGGTGTTCTTTTTCTTCGCCGCTTAACACATCGAAACGACCGTTCTAACCGAGAATCGTCGTCTTCCTTCCAAGCGCGTTAAGCAAGTCGCGAGAATGCGCTCGCGAAGGAAAGCGAAAAGCGCGCGCGGTTGTAAATTTTATACTAATTACATAGACAGATAATAATACGAGACATACGAGTGAGAGAATATTTCCTCACACATTCTCGAATTAATCTCTCGCTTGTTCTCACGTTTCACGGATTATCTTGAATGAAATTGAATTTGAAATTGAATTTAAAAAAAAAAAAAAAAAAAAAAAACACTTTTGCTAATTGCGATGAGAAATACATTAATTTTCGATGTAGGATAGGATCTTGCGCACGCTTTGTTCGGGAGAGATTGGAAGGATAAAAGGGTAAATAAAGGTTTCGAAAGAATTTAAAGGATGATCGTTGAATTAAGAGTGCGTTTTACCGCATCAAATTACTTCGATCATGTCTCTCGCACAGACTCGCATTGTGTCGGGAGGTCGATTCCGGGCAAACTATGCTTTATTATAATGAGCATATTCAAGCGAAAGAAAATCGTTGTTGGGTATATTACACGCGAATTACATCCCGAAGCCAATTTGTTAGATTCCGAATATTAAACCTCTTCCAATCAGATTCGACTGCTATATACTTGGCGATTTCACGTCTAATGATCACATTCCGCAGCGGAGAAACAACAACAACAGCGACAATCAAACGGCAATCAGACGTAAAAGACAGAAAGTAGGAACCCTTCTCGTTTTCGCTAAACGCGGCAATTCGATCAGTTTTCTCTGCCAAGTGCAACAAGAATCATCCGATCGATTCTCTCTCTAGCGCGATAACACACGAGCTTTTGCCGAAATACAATTAGAGAAAATTGGAGAAAAAACGAGACTTCGCGTATGGTGAATACACCTTGCGTGTATTTCGGACCGTGTGTGTATGTACACACACGCGGTCGCAGAAACGCGGAAATGACGAACGCGTGAAAGTGCGCCACTCGTCGGGGAGTGTCACCAAATACGCGCCGATTATACAACGAGTCCTTGGGCGCGTTGAATAACGCCGCGAATCCAACGAGAGAAGATGCGCCCGAAAACGCGTCGTAATAAACATTCCTCAACACGACCGGAGAGGAATCTGTTGGAGACGCAAATTTGGATTACAACCCGAGTCGAAATTTAGCGTCTACATTGAACCTCAATTTTTCTTTTTTTATATAAGAGTAAGAGAGAGAGATCCTACTTTGACGCTGCTATACGTCCGAAATTTCCTTTTTTCCTGCTAAAGTTTTAAAGTAGGGTTCAATTCTTAGATCAGACTGCGCATTGCAGGCTCTGATAGGCTCAAAGTAGGAGTAAAAAAAAAAGTAGATGCTACTTTGACGCTGCTATACGTCCGAAATTTCCTTTTTTCAAAAATTCAGGTTCAATGGAGACGCTAAATTTCGACTCGGGGTCCGTTGACCAAACTCGAATCGTGTTTCTCCAATCGCATTTGATTTTATACTCTCTCTGTCTGTTACATCCTTAGACCATATATACTTATAGACACGGCTTCGGACAACTATCTTGAAGCAAAGATAATATCATCTACATGACGTCACATTTGGGCAAAGCAAAGGCGCGTTTATAGACGGCTTCAGATAACTGCCTTGAAGATAAGATAATATCATCTACAAGATGCCGCGTTTAGCCGAACAATTGCTGAAATGCCCACATGTGACGTCACGTAGATGATATCATCTTTGCTTCACCTCGACTCGTGGATTCATATCTACAGGCCGTGTCTATAAGTATATACGGTCTAAGGTTACATCGATCTTTTCTCTATGATTGATTAGGATCTCGGATTGATGATAACGCGCCGATCGGTTCGTTGGCCCGTGTTCAAAACGCAATCTCCTCAGTTTCTGATTCGCGATCGCGCGCACAGTCAATAATCGTATATCGACAAAAATCCTTTCGTTCCGATCCTCCCCCCTTTGACAAACAGAGCTGGGAAAGTTAGATTCTCGACGTGTAAACGCGATCAGCATCGGACGAATGAAGGAAAGCGTGAAAAATTTGTAACGTGGGAGCGCCACGATCGACTGTAAGCGCGCGACTTCGTATATGTATATATATATATATATATATGTATCTCCATGTATATACGTGTGGTGTGTCGGTCAAACGGACGATGACGAGAGTCGTCCGACCGCCGATTAAAGAGCTCCGAGAGGAGGCTTTTCACTTTCGACACGAAAACCCTCGTAGATCCAACGAACCAAAACGAAGCTGCTTTGGCTGCCGGGCTATTAAGAAAGTCATATAAGTGTTACGACTCCCGGTTTTTCCGTCGTTTAATTAGACGAACGTCTGACCGGATCGATCAAGATAGAAGGATCGGGATGTTGCGCGCTCATTGAGAAACGACCGGAAGCTCTTTCCAGCAAAAGGAGAGACGCGAATCTCTCTCTCTCTCTCGGTATTACGTGCACGTCGCGATTAGATTGGAAGTTTCCTCGCACCTCGTTCGGAACAAGACGCGTTTACACACATTCCTGATTTCATAATACACACACGTGTGTTATCTGTAATTTTTGTTTTACCAGACACCGGGTTTTTTGTCTTGCGCAATTCAAGAACGTGATATAGGGGAGAAACAAAGATGGAAAAAGAAGAGGAACAACTTTCTTTCTTTCGTGACGCACAAAGAGAAAGATGCCACCTGCTTTTTCGGAGGTCACCGAACTTCTTCATCGAGCGGAGCATCCACACCCATGTGCATCTCTCTCTCTCTCTCCTCTCGTGTGTCATCAATTTCTAATAATTACTTTCTCTCGCCGTTCGATCGACGTCCCCGTCTTGTGTGTACACGCGCGCGCGCTCTCCGCATTTTAAAATAAGAGATCTCAGAAGAGACCAATTTAAATAATTCTCGAAAGTTCTCTCTCTCTTTCTCTCCCGCAAGTAACAATATAATTAGACACACGGCGATTAGAAAACTTGAAGAAGTTTCTCGACATGATCGGAGAAGTAAGCTATCGGATCGTAAAGCTGGATTATATGTTGGTTGTGAGATATTGCTGCAAACAATATCGAGTGGCGTTTTTTTCAAACCGCACCCTGTGCCGATTTCAAATAAACTTTCGTCGTCCACACACGCACGCACGCACCGACCGAGTGCGTTATGCGTGTGTATATACGTCGGGTTATCAATCTCTTTTCTCTTATGGTCCATTGATTCGAATCTGCGAGGAGAGAGCATCTTAGCTATCGCACGCATCTAGACCGCAACGAGGACAATCTTTTCGTCTCGAAGTTTCAAACACCGTTGTTTCTCTTTTCGCGCGATAATTTTTTCACAATGATAATGATGATGATCGATTTCTCGCGTTCGTCATATCTCGAATCAACTCGCGTGTCTACCGTCAGTTTTCGATCCGTTAGTGGAAACTGGAATTCTTGAGCTTAATTAACGTAAAGTACCCACGAGATCGTACCACATAACAATTGGACCGTCATGAACGCACGTGCGCATTTATTTATTACACGACACGCTCGCGCATTAGAAATTCGCGCAACTAGAAAATTGATTCGCCTTCGCGGCGTCGTCGGTTCGTGCAACTTCGAAACATCGCCAATTTTTGTATTAATTAAAAAATGGATTCGTAATAAGTCACGCGCGCTTCACGGCGAATCGTCGCGAGTACGCGCGATGCGACAAATAAAATTGCAGCGAGATGAACAATCGCTCGCCTTTTATCCAAATCAGCGACTATAAAATAATATATATATATATAATACAACATATTTGCTCGCGGTTTCATCTTTCTAAATTAAATTTCTAAGAAATTTGTTTTGTTACGGCTATCAAAGTTTGTGTGTTTCCGAGAGAAAATACGAGAAAATAATTGTTAGTCGCGGCGGTCGTCCGACAATTAAGTTGCTAACGCGTGTTCGCGGCAACAACTAAGCGAACGATTAAGTAGCCTGAGGGAAACCGTTAAGTAGAAAAGCACATATGTGTACACACACGCCTCGTTTGCGAGAGAAGCGATAGGAGCGCGTAAGTATACGGCACTTGCAAATCTGGAAATCGCGAAACGCTCGCACGATGAAAGAAGAAAGTGGCCACCGTGAAATGCCTTCGTTGCGAGTTTCTTCTGCGTAGAAATCTTATATCTTTATATTCGGATATCGATGCGTTTCGGCGATATTGTATTTCCGTGAATTGCCGTGTCATCGGCTAATAACTAAGTAATTGCGTTGTTACACATCAACGGGTTAAAATTATCGCGTATAGAAATCGCGATATAGAAAATGTCAAACACATGATTACAGTATTCCCATCAATAACTGAAATTCGTCTATATATGTATATTTGTGTGTGTGTGTGTGTGTGTATATATATATATATATATGTATAATTAGATTTAATATTGCAAATTTACACGCTTGTTATTAACCGTATTTTTTTTTTTTTTAGACACGATTTATTTCTAGATGATCACTTCGCACTCATTTTAATTGATAATATCTGACTGTCACTGTCACTTGGCACGAACTTTTACGCGATTGCACTGTCGAAAAAAAAAAGAAGAAATTGATGATACGGACTGAGAGAGTCAGGAAGAGAAAGAGAAAGAAAGAGAGAAAGAAAGGAAAGAAACAGAGAATCGCAAGGAAAGTTCACGAAGCGGGAAAGCTTCAGATCAGTGAATGAAGTGGTTTTGTACTCACCAAGCGCATGATGCTGTCTGTGCCCATGCTCGTTCGGTTCTCGGCTTTTACTCGGGAAGATGATCTTCACGTAGGTAGGTAGGCAGTGATAGTTTCGCGAAAGAGGTGGGGTTCACGTACCTCATCGCGATGTTACATACATACACATGTACAAAAAAATATCACATGCACACGTCAGGTTCAGCGTCCAGTGATCTCGCTACTTTCGGCTGCTTCCTTGAATCGCGCGACCTATTTTTACATCACATTCCCAAGTGCAAGTCTCGCAGGGGATGGGAAGTGATGGGGTAAATTACGTCACGCGTATGTACGTGTAATGATTTAATGTACAAATACAAGTGTGTATCTATTATATTAGATTTATTATATTAGATCACCTCAGATCTGTTCAAATCTGCTTAAATTCAAATAAATCGGAGTAGTTTTAATATAGTCCGGTAAAAAATTTTTCATATATACTTATACACAAATTAAAATTATTATATCTAATTATGCAAATTTATATGTGTGTGTGCCAAATATGTCCATACAATTTTATACATGGAAAATCTTTTACCGGGAGTAGATCTGAAGTAGATCTAAAGTAGATTTAATAACACATAAAAGTGTAAAAATAAATATATGTAATAAATATATGTAATAAATATATGTAAGACCGGTCATTAATGACCGGTCTTAATGACCGGACTTACGTATATTTATTAGTTTCATACCTCAAGAGATGATTCTCTACCCAGATAGCACTTAACATTGCTATGAACGTTCTATAAATATTCTTCAAGAATATGTCGAATATTCCATTGCATGAACGTTCTTATATATTCATCGTATATTTATAGAATAAGCGAATGGCACTACTGTAAATGTTTTTCGAATATGAATAGAATAATCTATAGAATATTCTATAAAACATTTATAGAATATTTTTAGAATATTTCATAAATGTTCTATAGAAT